GCCCGGTGCCCTCGGCACTGTCCTCCGGGTCACGCATCGCCAGCCCGGTTCCCCTGGAGGGCTGGAGCCAGCCCAGCTCCCTCAGGACTGTCCTCCGGGTCACGCATCGCCAGCCCGGTTCCCCTGGAGGGCTGGAGCCAGCCCGGTACCCTCGGGACTGTCCTCCGGGCCATGCACCGCCAGCCCGGTTCCCCTGGAGGGCTGGAGGCAGCCCAGCTCCCTCAGGACTGTCCTCCGGGCCATGCACCGCCAGCCCGGCTCTGTGGCTGCCTGTCGGGGGAAGATACGGCCTATGCAACTTGTCAGGGGAGGAGATCAACTTATTTAGTCTTTGTTTTAATGTCAGGTTGCTGATCTACACGTTTTCAATGCGGTGAGAGGACAGGGGAAGAAGCCGTCCTTGGGTGCCGCGGGGAGAGACAAGGAGCAGGGAGGAAGGCCAGAGAGGTGGTGTGAGCAGACTTTGGCATTCCTTGTTCACAGCTGCTGCCCTGGGCATGGACAATCCCTGTGCAGAGCAGAGCACAGCCCGGGGCCTCTCTGGCACCAGCTGCCAGGAACCTCCAGCTGCCGGGAACCCCCAACTCCTGGGAACCCCCAGCTCCTGGGAACCCCCAGCTCCCGGGAACCCCCAGCTCCCGGGAGCCCCCAGCTCCCGGGAACCCCCAGCTCCCGGGAGCCCCCAGCTCCTGGGAACCCCCAACTCCTGGGAGCCCCCAGCTGCTGGCTCCTGCAGCACAAGGATGTCCCAGGCACCTTCTCCTTGTGTCACCCGTCAGGTCCTTTCCCCATTCAAGGCAAATAAATGTTTTTTGTGCGCTCCATGGATTCTTCAGGGGCTGGGTAATGGTTAATGAGTATTTGAGACACAGAATGCATTTAAGATATTTTCTTCCTTGATGTGGCCGCTGCAGGCAGTGAGGAGCTGTGGGTTGGAGGGTCTGGCTCCATGTGCTCAGGTTTGGAGGACACAGTTTATTACAGGCTGAGGTTTTGTTGGAGGCAGAGTGGGTGGTTTTGCAAGGCTGCTTGTTTGTGAAAGACAGGAATATCATATTTCACCTTCAATTTACTTTATTTGCAATGTAAAATACAAGTACTGTATATAATTTGCCAATACCTGTCTTAACTTCTTAATAAGATGGGAAATCTTCCCTTGCTCCAGCTGTGGATGTTGCCTTTCTTGTTGCAGGGGCCTTCACTATATTAGTTGTTTAACCTGCTGCAGAGTGGTTTTTGGTTTCTGCGGCTGAACCCGAGCCCTGTGGTGCCACACGACTGCTCTGGTGCCCCAGGTGTGACCACAGTCACCATCGAACCAGCAGCAGCTGTTTGCTGCCAGACACTGGGAGGCTGCAGTGTCTGCATCCTTACTGGGTATTCCTAATGCAGAAATGGATGGGAGATGTTTGTAACAGATCAGATTCTGTCAGGACCAGTTTTGTTGTGGTTTCTGTTTCCTTGAATAAACCAGTGGTATGAAATGATCTTACTCAAGCAAGGACATGGAGCATGTCTCCCGCAGTTTTATGTGGGAATTAGTGTGTGGCTGGACTTGTGCAGAGACATGTTTTCATGGAAGTCTTTAAGGGTGTGCAGGAGGAGGGGAGCTGAAGCTCTGGGTCTGGTTGCATGGTTATTTTCACGTAGCTGCTGTCAGGCCCGGGGTTTCTGCTGTCAGCCCTGGGTGCTGCACACCCCGTGCCTCGTTAGGAGCTGTGTTAATGATGGCTCAGGGGCTGTGGCCAGTCAGTAAGCGAGGGCTGAACTCAGTGTGTCCTCCTGCTCCTTCTCCAAGCTGCAGGAGGGCACTACCCTGGCTCTGATCCCAGCTGTGCTGGAGGAACCTGCTCTCTCTGCCCCCAGTAACTTCCAGTCTCGTTCCTGGGTACCAGGGAGGCCTAGTTACCTTCTCTCACCTGTCAGGGCTCACCTTTCGGTGCAGGTGGGCCATGTGCTCTGGCCCCTTTGCTGTGCTGAGCAGCTCCTGCTCTCCACACTGCAGCCTGCTCCTCTCCCCAGGGCTCTGTGCTCACCTTGTGTCTCCATCCCACATCTCTCAGCTGGAACACCAGCTCTATCCTGGCACAGCAGATGAGGGTCAAAACATCTATTTATTCAGGAGTTATGAATTCCAGGTGATTTACTGCACTGGTGTGGGCAGGGTTTTACAGTGAATTCCATTGCACTATTTAGCAACTTCCTCTAAGTAATGGCAAAATTTTGGACCATTGGAACGATGAGGAGCGTCACTGATTTTTCGACCAAAGGTCAAAACTCATAGCTGAGTGATGAAGATACATTCTATTCAGCCAGAAGCTCTCAGGCCAGGAGAGGTGTTGGCAGGTACAGGATGTGTGTAATTGATGTTTTCATCGCTTTCCTTAGGACAAGAGACAAGTGGGCCCTGAGGTG